ACAATTATATTCTAATTGATTTGAAATCTAAAAAGAATACTACAGACCTTTTCAAAATCCATAACTTCCAAAAACACAAAAGACATTTTAATTGTCATTGATGCAAAAATATTAATGTTCCGGAAATGAATTTTCAGTGACGCGATGAATAAAGATGACAAGCGTCCGATACATTGATGGGAGAATTTGGCAGGAAGGGGTTACGTTCAATTAACCTATAATCGAATATTAGTCCCTGTGTTATTGGATCCTGAATTAACTATAATTTTGCTACCGGCTAAATAAGGTAACTTCGTTGTGTTCTAAAAGCGAAACAGGTAATTAGCTGAAACAGTTCACTGGGTCCTTCCGCAATCGAAAGTTCCGTGCTGTTATTCCGGAATGTTGTTGGGAATTACTCATCGAAAGCTTTGTTCGATTTTTTGTTTGTCTGTTTTTCGACGGTTGCAAATAGTTTCGTAGGATTTCCAACTTAATGACTACTCTCTTTCCCGTCGGAATACGTTACTTCTTGTCTTTTCCTCCTACCTTCGTCTCCTTCAGTTACACATGACTTGTCTTCCCTTTATTTCCGCCCTCCACGTCCCAAGCTTTCTTTATTCGTCCTGAAGGCGAAGTGGGTACCAGAGCCAGCCCTGACACCGCCCTCCTTGCCCCGCAGGTGTGTCCGGGCGGCCAGGTGCCGGTCATCAACGAGCCCTCGCGCCAGAAGACGTGCATCCAGGAGCAGTACGAGCGCACCGGCCAGTTCGAGCTCACCAGCATCGAGCAGGAGACGTACGAGAAGTACTTTTACGGCACGGAGCACTGGAATTACTTCACGCAGGACGAGGACCTTGGACCTGTGATCCTCTCACTCAAGCAGGAGACCTCCAACGGCCGAGATCAATTCAGGTACAACCCTTACACGGGTCAATATAAGTACCATGACTTCAGGGACCAGTTCAGGTAATAACCAACGCCTCACACGGACGAGGTTTTTAGCCTTGATTTCAGGTTTAGGCTGTGTTTCCCTCTTCCTTTCCTTTTTGTTCAGGGTTAGTGTGTGTCTTGGGTAGGACCGAGGTGGCGGCCTGGACCGTCGTTGTGCGCAGGCGTATGTTGAACCGAGGAAATAAGGGGAAGATCTCGCTTGCTTGCGTAACACCGCAACCATTTTGCTTGGCTTTGTCCCCTTTTAGACCCAAGGAAAGGAACTAATGCCTTTGCTGCTTTGTTTGCCCCGCGCCCTCCGGGGAAGGCGGACGAGCTCTCGCCTTTTCCCTTATCTCCACAACCCTCCTTCTTTCATTTGCTTTGTGTCCAGGTACTGTCTGTACTAAGGCATGCATTAAAAACTTTGGCAAGCATGAACGTATGCGCTAGTCTTATTCTCTCTATTTCTATTTGTCTATCGGTCTCTCTCTCTCTCCCCCCCCCTCTCTCTCTCTCTCTCTCACTCTCTCTCTCTCTCTCTCTCTCTCTCTCTCTCTCTCACTCACTCTCTCTCTCTCTCTCTCTCTCTCTCTCTCTCTCTCTCTCTCTCTCTCTCTCTCTTTCTCTCTCTCTTTCTCTCTCTCTCTATCTATCTATCTGACTCTCTCACATACACGCCTTTAAGTGCAAGAATAGATAAGTCTCTGTCTCCTCCCCTCTTTCTTCGTCTGCCTCTGTCTCTATATCTGTCCCTGTCCCCTGTCCATCTCTCTCTCTCTCTCTCTCTCTCTCTCTCTCTCTCTCTCTCTCTCTCTCTCTCTCTCTCTCTCTCTCTCTCTCTCTCTCCTTTCTCTCTCTCTCTCTCCATATATATACATACATACATACATACATATATATATATATATATATATATATATATATATATATATATATATATATATATATATATATATATATATATATCTGAAACACACACACGTCATTAAGTTCAAGGATAGATATGCCTCTGTCTCTTTTTTTTCCCTCTATCTCCTCTATTCTTTCTTCGTCTTTCTCTGTCTCTATCTCTATCCCTGACCACTGTCCTTGTTTAACTGTCTGTCTGTTTGTCTGTCTGTCTCTGTTTCTGTCTTTGTCTCTCCGACACACACACACACACACACACACACACACACACACACACACACACACACACACACACACACACACACACACACACAGACGTCTTTTAGTGCAAGAATAGATATGTCCGGTTATTATGCGAACGTTTTGTAGGTCATGTGTCATTGTATGTTTTTGGGCTGTTCGTGGTAATGTACATTTGTCCGTGGAGGTTTTAGTGTCCGTGATTTCTCTGTTGCGATAATAGAAGTATGCCACACTGTAGAAACAAAGATCTAGCTAGTCCGATGTTAATTCTGAAAAGAATTTTGCTGTAATCTATATTGTCATTATTTCGTGTGTGTGTGTTTTGTGTTTTGTGTTTGTATTTGTTTTGTCTTTCTTAATGCTAAGGTTTAATCTGTTTATGTTAAGATTATGTTTTAAAAGTTTTTAAAATGATATTTAACTACTTTATTTG